ACAGCCTTCAGTATGGATTACACCTCAACATAAAGAAAACAAAAATCCTCACAACTGGACCAATAAGCAACATCATGATAAATGGAGGAAAGGTTGAAGTTGTCAAGGATTTCATTTTACTTGGACCCACAATCAATGCCCACGGAAGCAGCAGTCAGAAAATCAAATGACATATTGCACTGCGCAAATCTGCTGCAAGATTTCTTTAAAGTGTTGAAAAGTGAAGATGAAGACTAAGGTGCGCCTGACCCAAGCCATGATATTTTCAATTGCCTCATATGCATGTGAGGGCTGGGCAATAAAGTGCGAAGAAGAATTGATGCTTTTGAATTATGGTGTTGGTGAAGAATATTGAATATACCATAGACTGCCAAAAGAATGAACAAGTCTGAAGTACAGCCACAGTGCTCCTCGGAAGCAAGGATAGTGAGACTTCATCTCATGTACTTTGGACATGTTATCAGGAGGGACCAGTCCCCTGGAGAAGGACATCATGCTTGGTAAAGTAGAGGGTCAGAGAAAAAGAGGAAGACCCTCAACAAGATGGACTGACACAGTGGCTGCAACAATGGGCCCAAACACAGCAATGACTGTGAGGATGGCACAGGACCGGGCAGTGTTATGTTCTGTTGTATACAGGTTTGCTATGAGTCAGAACCAACTCAATGGCATGTAACAACAACAGTAAAGAAAATACAATATAAAAGTATAATTTAAAAACATAATAATTTTGTCTAATAGAAACAAGATTATATACCAACATTTAATTAATGATAACTCTGTTGTTAGTTACCACTGATTCAATTCCAACTTATGGCAACCTATTACACCAGTATTACAGTACTTCCTGTATATGGTACATTCTGTACCAGGCATTTTATTCTCCCATCATTTTGACAACTGGCGTTTCTACATGTTATTTACATTTCATGTCACTCTTCTCTACATTTAAGAGTTACAACAATATTAAACTGCCAAAAGAGGGTGTTTTTCTTTGGTGTTCATTAAATGACACACGCATATATTTAATGCAATGATAATATAAAACGAAGTTTTTTTTATTGTTAGAAATAAAACAGGGTATCCACTAGCACATTGCAGACATTCACTGGCAACTTTCAGGTAGGTGTGAATTAAACTGCTACAGAAGGAAACTGAAATATCTGTATATTCATAGGGACCAGCCCAAGACACAATAGTGGGTAAGGCATAACTAGAATTCAAATGTGTTACGATAAGGCTAACTATCTGTAAACAAATATTGGAATGAAAAATGAAAAATTCACATAAATATCTACGCATTTTCAATAATGTGAGTTGTGTGCTGTAATACAGACTCAGCGGATAAAAATCATATGTGTTAGATTATTTTTCATTTAGTTAGATTAGAGGGTTTTTTTGGCATCTAGATATTTTTTGGCTTTGTACTTCACAAAGGCTAGAAGATGTGATTAATAAAAAACAAATAAAAACAAAACTGCACCAATTCTGTTGCTTTTATTCTATCATACTCATCAATTGTCACAATTAGCTTCATTTATTTTATTTCAATACAAACAAAACCAAAGCTAAGCTGGATAAGAAACAGGCTAAATTCCAAGCCACATTACTTTCATAATATTTTTCATCTGAAAAAAATTTCTTCCTCAACCTGGCCCCCAAACCCTCTGGTAATGAAACAGTAATAGTCGTAAATGCCACTGACAATCAGAAGCAGTGAGACCTGGACCAGGATCCAGAAGACCTCAATTCAAGTGGTGCCTAGCATCCTGATCTTGGGAGAGTCATTTTTCTTTTCTAGGCCAGAGTTTCCTCATTTATTAACTGAAGTGAATAATCCCTGACCTGACTAATATCACAGGTTTTTTGAAGGGATTATATGTGATCAGGTCAAGAAAATCTGGCTTTGAAACTGCACTGCAACAGGCAGAAGAGCTGTGATCATTCTAATGCTCATCATTTTTAGGACCCCAGCAGAAGAGACAGTGATTAACTTCCAAAGTGACTATCTCTGAATATAGTCCAGTTAAGTTAAAAAGGAAGGACACATTTTAGGAGGAGGTGGAGGAAAGCGCTCACTAAAAGTACATGGTACTACAAGCAGGCGCCTCAATGGACTTTTCTCCACAGTCATCAACATTAATCTTCCTCATGTTGCTGTTGTTAGGTGCCATCCAGTTGATTTCGACTAATAGCGACCCCATATGACAAGAGTAGAACTGCCCCACAGGATTTTCTAGGCTGTAATCTTTACAGAAGCAGTTCACCAGGTCTTTCTCCTGCAGAGCCACTGGGTAAGTTTGAATCGCCAACCTTTCGGTTACCAGTCAAGCACATAACCACTGAGCTACGAAGGCTCCTAACCTTCCCCATAAAAACCCGTTGCCACTTAGTCAATTCTGACTCGTAACAACCCTATAGGACAGAGCAGAACTGCCTCATAGGGTTTCCAAGGAGCAGCTGGTGGATTCGAACTGCCAATCTTTTTGGTCAGCAGCCGAAGCTCTTAACCACCATGACACCAGGACTCCAAAACCTTCCCCATAGCTACTAATAATTCCTGAGGATAAGAACACAGTGTTCAGCACTTACCCCTCAGTCTACAACTGACTAAATGGGCCTTTGGGTCACTCTATTTCACATCCCACTAATTACAAATTATTGAGGAAATTAAAGGGCCAGAAATTTCTGAGTTATTATGTGACCAGTATTGATTAAATAAAAGTCATAGTGCTGACTGTTCTAAGGGAACGTATCAACTGGGGAGACAAGAAAAACATTTAAGAACAGGTACAGAAAAAGGAATACAAGTGAATAACGATGGGGTCATATCTGCACCAGATAGTCTCTGCAGGGCTGGCAACCCTTTGGAAGTGACAACAGTTATTCAGAGAGTGATTTCAAGAAGAGCTAAAATAAACTTTTCATTGGCACTCATAATCTAAACTTACATAAGGAATATAAGTCAGAAAACTAAGGTTCCAGTATGGCTAAATCATTCAATAGCTCAATGACTATGGGCAAAATCACTTAGAATTTCTGCACCTCAGTTTTCTTACTTAGAAAATGGTGTAATATAATATGTTGTTAAATTACAAAACAGGGTAATACAATCTGTTCTATCGCTCTCTCAGAGCTGTTGTGAATATCCAATGGGATAATGTATGTGAAACTGAATGGCTGTATAATTGTAAAGTGTTGGAATTATTTTAACTGGGGAATTTATTCTGTAAGAAACTGGAAAAAGCAAAAGATTAGGGCTGCAAGTTTGTAGTTGTAGAGTCTTACTTTTTGAAAAATGTAGATTTACATATACTGCATTATAGCAGCTATAACAGTATATATATATATATATATATATATATATATGTATATATATATGTATATATAGCAGTATATAACCTATACATAAAGGTAATCTTTCAGCCACAAGATTGCTTTAACCAACTTCAGTGAAGGACTCTGACCTATTTTCAAAGTCTTATTTTATGGTTTTACTCAATTTCTTTCTGGCTATGTTAGAGTATAATTCTCTGACTTTCCATAATCTCAGACCCAGAGATTCAAAATAGGCTCACAAATTCAAAATAAGCACTAGTCCTGGTTATGTAATGAGTAGGAATACAGATAGTATTCGTAACTGATATGAGCAGAAGGTAGAGAAGGACAAATAAACCAGTAAGTCCAGCTTTACAATGTAAGTTCTGTGAGGGCAGGAACAGAGTCTGCCTAGTTATCTCCTGAGTTTATTACTAAAAAAAATTGTTAGGGATACCTACAGTTGAGTGAAAAAAGAAAAATATCCCTGAGATTAAAATGAGTGGTTCTAATATACATGGAAATCACATATAAGTAGTACCTTCTTAGGAACCTAAAAAAATAGAAAATGGATTAGAGACAGAATCAAAAAAATTTTCAGAAGACACTTACATACCAAAGATATCAAAATATGATTAGGTTTTACCCAAA